AAAGCTAAGACACAATCACATGCATTCACCTAGGCCTACCCGGGGTCAGGATAGTCAATATCACAATCCTCTACCTCCACAGCTTGTCCCATTGGAAGGTCTTCAGGGGCAATAACATGCATGGAGCTGTCATTTTCTGCGATGAGAATACTGTCTTTTGGAATAGCTCCTGAAGTACCTGCCCAAGTGTGTTTTATGGCTAACTTTTAGAAATAAGTATATAGAGTATACTTTAAAATAATAAATAGTATAATAAATGCATAAATCCATAACATAGTTGTTATTAAGTATTATGTACTGTACATAATTGTATGTGCTACACTTTCACAGGACTGCAGCTCAGTAGGTTTGTTTACACCAGAATCACCACAAACACATGAGCAATGTGTTAAGTATGACCTTACAACAGCTACAACATCACTAGATGGTAGGAATTTTTTTAGCTCCATTAAAATCTTTTATCTACTTATTTATTTTTGAGATGAAGTCTTGCTCTGTTGCCTAGGCTGGAGTGCAGTGGCAAAATCTTGGCTTACCACAGTTTCAAGCGATTTGCCTGTCTCAGCCTCCTGAGTAGCTAGGACTACAAGAATACGCCACCATGTCTGGCTAACTTTTGCATTTTTAGTAGAGGCAGGGTTTCACTATGTTGGTCGAGATGGTCTCAAACTACCGACCTCAAGTGATCCACCTGCCTTGACCTCCCAAAGTGCTGGGATTACAGGTGTGAGCCACTGCACGCAGCCAGCTCCATTATAATCTTATGGGACCACCATCATATATGTGGTCTTTCACTGGCCAAAATGTCATTATGTAGCACATGACTATATTTATAAGAAGCTTTCAAGTATATCTACAGAAGGTGTATAAATAAAACCACATTTTAGTCTTTTATTCAAATTATTTCTCTACCAATCCTATACAAATGCTGTTAACAAGAAGAAAAAATATTAAGATTTCATGCATCTAAAAAATTTACCCATCTAAAAAATTAGGGTTCCAGTAGACATGGAACATAAGAAGGAAAGACAAGGAAGGAAGGCAATAAACTCACATATTAAATAATTTTTCCTTGATCCTTTCTTTTCTTAAAGGTCATTATCATGTCAGCCTTTCAGCACGAATTCTCAAGGAGTGAGTCACTACCTACTTTCCCTGGCAACACAGGGAGCAGTTACAGGTTTACTGTTCTCATACTAAAAAAGAGGAAGATAATGTCACATTCACCCTGTGGTTAGGAAATTTCTACGTAAGTGGTAGTGTTCACTAACAAGAATAACCTCATCCTCAAACCACTCTATCTATAGAAAATCCTGCTTCCTTTGCTCAACCAGGCATCAGCACCATGATTACCGCAACAGATGACCATGGCTCGGAGGCCTGCTGATAATTCGCAAAGAAGGGCTTTTTAATGTCTAAATTTACATAGCCATGGGTAAGATTTTAATTCATACCATGTTAGGAACTGTACATGGTTTCCTAAGCAGTTGTGTCAAGCAAAAGTAAATAACTGGATAAATAAAAACTATAAAAAGCAACTGTAGGTAATTCAAATGTGGTTCCAGTGTTACTACTGTGGGTCTTCACTAGGTATTACTAAAATGTAACCTGGAGCGGCCAGGGTGGTCATGACTGCCAGAGCTCTTCCTTCTTGTCTTCTGATTCTTTGTCATATACTCATGTACTTCCAACTGTCAGGCACTTTCAGAAATGGAGATACCACTCAGAAAATCTTTGACTCACCATCCTCTGTGGTTTGGTGATTAAAGCATAGCCTCTCCCCTTAACTGTGTGGGCTCCATCAATTGTACTCATGTTGCTCTAGAGATTGTGGATCCCATTTGCCAGGTCACATGAGAGGTAAAGGCTGCCGGAAATCCTTCTCCAATATGAACCCACAGCCCTTTGCCTCCAATAAAAACTATCAAAGCCTTCTTCTGCACAACTGAGGAAAACTTGTATAGATTCTCATGGTTTTATGTCAGAAAAGACTAGCCTCCGAGTTGTGAAGACTCTCCGCCTTAACCCAAACACTGTCCCTTGAACACTGACGTCTATCAGCTATAAACAGAAATAATAAGTAACAATAAAAGTGAAAAACAACTTCTATTTGCAAACATTGTGGCCGCAGCAGGTATCAGCCAGCTACCTAACTGCTGGGTAACATGGGGAGGTTATATAGAATCCTAATGCTTGCTGCTGTGGATGTTTTTACAGAATAGAGAAAAGACCATCAGGAATCATGGGTTATTATTACCTAAGACTGCAGTTTTAAAATCCATCATGACCTTGCACACACACATGTCAGCATGTATGAAACAAATTCACAAAACAATAGCTACCCATATCACATGCAATGAACTATAATGGTTTCCTCTACTTCATTTTTTAAAGGATTATATAACCCTTTGAATTTATTTTTTGAACTACAGTTAGGAAAACAACTAATATAAAAGGTTAATGAGACAGGTGGAAATATAATTAAATCAACCTACTTCTAAGGAATCTCAGAAACACTAGTGTGGAAGCTTTAGATGTCAAATTCTGTTCCTTCAGCCACTAGAGTGATTCTATTTTCACAAAATTCAATATACAAGTGGCCTAGGAATGCCCATTTAATTTTTATTAAAGGGAAAGACAGTAAGATTGCAGGGGAAAAAGCAGTCAATTTTTCTTCAGCTCTGAGTCAACCCATATTAGTTAAGGTTACACTGCAATACGGATTCACTTAATGGAGATGGTGTGTTCTAATCAGGGATTGTAAAGGGAAGCAAACAGTGATAAAGCTTGGGGGTCTACGGGAAAGGAGTGAAGGTCAAGTTTCCTTGCTTTGTGTATATCACCTCATCGGCTCACCCCAAAGTCCTGTGGGGAATGTTCACAGGCTGCTGCTCTGAACACAAATGATGAATGAAGATGACTCCAATGGGTTAGAGCTCAGTAGCCGAGATCCCAAAAGATTTCTACCCATCCCTATATCGTGGGTGTCAAGCATAACCATAAGAGCCATCTTCCCAATTGCTTAAAACATTGCTTGGCAAAATTCTCAGTGCAGAAACCTTTTTCTTTTATCCATTTCAAATCATCTCTAATAAAGCTGATGGTAGTCAGAGCTGAGCTGCAACTGATAGCAGAAGAACAATGAAAGGTTTTCATTCTTTGAGGAGAAAAGGAGTCAATTAAAAGATTTCAAGGTTCCAGTGACTAGATTTTACCTTTGCATCCTTTATACATTAAGATTAGATTGGTACATTCAATGTTGTGCAAAACATTGCTTCCCCTTCTCTGAAGCTGTCAACAAATGATACACTGTATAACAACAGCAATTGATGATTCTATTCAATGTTCCAAATCCAAATTGGTTGCCATATTAAGAGGAGGCTGAATCATCAACTTCCTTTTGCCAGAAAAATAATTATTGCTGAAATGCCAGTATTTGCAAGGGCATAAACACTGACAATCATTCAAAACATGAAGATTCTAAAGTACCCATTTACACATTTGTGAGTTTGGAAAGGATGTATAAGTTGAAATCATTCTAGTAAGGGCTGAACAGAGACTTTGGCACTCCCAGCTCCCTCATGGTGATGAAGCTGTCTCTCTCACTCTTTCTCTCTCTTGTACACACACACACACACACACACACACACACACACACACACACACACACACACACCCTTATCTCTTATATTCCAATATATCCCAATTGTAGCCTCCAGACACTGATTATCCCCATGATGATTTAACCTCCAAATATTAACATAGGGACAATGCTTTGCCCTCATTTTTACAATCTAAATCTTATATGCCTACTTAGGGAGTTAAATTTAGAGAGTCTTCTGAATTGTACATATTCAATACACCAAACATTCACAAAATTCTTTCCAGAGATTTAAATGCTAGAACAATGACAGTACCAAGTATATACCCATATATAAGTGGGAATCCCTCTGGTGATAGTTTTTTGAATTAAAGGTATTTTTCCAAATTGGCCTACTTCTTACCTCGTATTATCATTTTCCCAAATACCTACAGAAAACTTCCCAAATCAGGGGCCAATATAATAACTGAATTGGACTTTTGGTATCATCTAGTCTAACTACTTTATTACATGTCAAATCCAGCACCTCAGCCCCTTGACCTCTCAGCAGCACTGGCACTGTACACCTTTACTGAAATTCTCTCATTCTGAGGTTTCCATAAGTTAACTTGTTTTAGCTTTCCTCTAACCAAAATGTTCCTTGCTGCCACAAATCTCCCAAATGCTCTCCCCTGCCCAGGTCTCTATCCTTAGCTTACACCTTCTCCTGGGTCGGTCCCCTCCATGTTCATAATTTCAACTATCAGAGCCATGCTATTTATGCCAATACCCGTGCCAGGCCTCAGTAAGCTCAAATTCAAAACACCCATCACTGAATCCACATTTTCCTTCCATACCTCCTCTCTTTCTTGCATTCTCTTAGGTTATCTCCCATCATTTACTCATTTAAAAATGTCAATTATTTTTCAATCCACCCTATTTAAACACCAGTTTCTAGAAATTATTTCCAAAATCTCCAGACTATTGCTCTCAGTAATTAGTACTCCATAAAAACCAATGTTTCCTATACACACTCCTCAGTGCAGCTGGCACAGCCATTTCTTAAATACAGCTCTGACGATACTTGCTTAAAAACCTTTAATGTTTCCCTACTACCTAGAAGAAAATACGCAACCTCTTTAGCACCCTCCCCATCTCAAACTATTCTTCGGTTTCACTTCACCACACAACCCATCTCCCTGTCACTCTGGCCCACTTACCTTCCTTTCACAATCAAATAAACTGTTTCTTTTGCTCAAAGTGTTCACATCTTCTACTTCTCTGACAACTCTGCTTATTTTAAAACCTCGCCACATCTGCAAAGCCTTCTTCAAATCTCCAGGCCATTTAATCATCCTGGGTGTTCCTACAGAACTTAGTTCACACAGATAATATCACACATCCACTGTATCCTTGTCAGTTTTTTAATTTTTTTTCTTCCTTGATAGATTACAACCTCATTTAAGAACACAGTGGTGTCTTGCTGTCTTTTCTAGCTAGCATTTAACACACCTGCTACATAATGGGTATTCAATTAACAACCACAAAGTAAATATATATACACAGTGAAAAACCCTTTTGAATTAAGAGTAAGAAGATGTGAGTTTGAGTCCTAGCTAGGCTAGTCAAGGTAGAAGTCAAACTCTGCAAACCTCAATTACTTCATGTGTAAGATAACACAATATCTTTTCTGGCCAGGCGCAGTGTCTCATGCCTGTAATCCCAACACTTTGGGAGGCCAAGGTGGGTGGATCACCTGAGGTTGGGAGTTCAAGACCAGCCTGGCCAACATGGTGAAACCCTGTCTCTACCAAAAAGACAAAAAATTAGCTGGGTATGGTACCTATAATCCCAACAGCTTGGGAGGCTGAGGCAGGAGAATTGATTGAACCCAAGAGGTGGAGATTGCAGTGAGCCGACATTGTGCCCTTACACTCCAGCCTGGGTGACAAGAGCTAAATGTCTCAAAAAAAAAAAAAAATCTTTTCTGTCTACAGTGTTCTATTCTAATCTAAGAACCGAATGAAATCAGGTAGAGGAAAGCACTATGTCAAATATAGACTGCTATATTTAACATAATCTTAGTGTATAATCTTTAATAAAATCTCTATTATTTCACTTGAAATATATCAAAGGTTAAGATTCTAAGGCCAATGTCCAAACTGGGGATAAATATCAACGCAATGAAAAATAGGTACTTTATCTTATCTTCTAATGTTCCTAGAAATCAAGGGTGACATCAACTTAAAGTGAGCTGTACTGCATCATACTATTAGTTAGCATGCATAATCACAATATTATAAAGAGCATAGACTTTGGATTAAAATAAGTGAATTCTAGTGCTACCTATTGTTTTGCTTTATTAGCAAATGCTTTTATAGCATTTATTATACATATGTGTAATGCTTCACACACATTAACCCATTTATATCTCACTGGAATCCCATTAAATAGGTCCTATTATTATTGTTATTTGCATTTTACAAACAAGGAAACAGAAGCAGGGAGGTTGGGTAACTTGTTTAAGGTAGCAAAGCTATTATGAGGCCAAGCTGTGATTTATGTCTGGGCAGTCTGGGTCTAGTCTGGCTCTTACCCACTAACATACAGCCTATATCAAAATAATAATATGACAAGGTAGCACAATGCCTGACCCATGATAAATTATTGACGTGTTAGTTTTCTTTTCTTTTGTACATAATGGAGCTCAGGCGACAATGATGATACATGCAAGTTGTCAAGAGATCTGCTACATCATCTCCTGGCAATGCTCTCATTCCGTATGGACTCCGTAAAAAGGGAATTTTATCTGCATAATATACTACCCTACTTTCCATATGAAAATCTTCCAAGAAAACTAGAAAAGAGCAAACCAAATGGATATAGCCCATTTGAATGACTGTGTTAATAGCTTGTGCATGTGTGTGTGTGTGTGTGTGTGTGTAGTTTCATTGGATTGTTAAAATGTCATTACATGGAGCTGAGGCAAAGGTGGAGAATTTGCCAATTCTATTCTTTCATATCTTTTGGTTGTTCTTCGACAAAATCCAGGACATTGATTACATTTTTATTACAATTCTAATGACTCACATTGTATTAACTTGTTCAGTTCTCCCTTCCCATTGCTAATCTCTGAAGCATGCCTCTTACAGTGAAGATGTCACAGTTCCCTCTTTAGCATATCATTCTGGGAGAAATGGTGTGAAAGCACTGTCTCCAAATATAGCTCACATCTCTGCAGCTTCCTTGGCTGCTTCAGACCTAGAGAAGCATATTTGATTACAACTATTGGGGTAAACGAGCATTCTTCCCAGTTCTCATAACTGGGTTAATTCTTACATATTCCTGCAATTGTTACATAATGCAGTTAGTATCAGCACTGTTTTCTTAAAATGTTCCTTCTAGTTTAATACTGTATTCAACTCAATAAATTCCATCTCTCTATTGTCAGCTACATAGAGCTTCTTAGATTATGTACTGGTACATTATCCATATTTTATAGTTACCTAGTTAATAATTTATTTAGCACGCCCATGTGCCAAGTTCTATACTAAGTACTTTATATACATTGTAACATAAGAGTCCCATGAAATTAAGACATTGAATTTCATTAATTCTAAGATGATCTAAAAAAAAAAAACATTTTAACATCTCTGAAATCAGAATGCTTCTGACAATCTGTATCATGTCAAAGTTGTGATAATATATTTTTCTGTGTACATAAAATATTATTACATCTTAAAATCAATGGCTATTTTGGTTCAATGAAATTTATGAGTGCCATATTTATTCCTATTTTAAAGTTAAAAAAACTGAGGTGAAGTCTGTTAAAGGACGCCCAAAATTCATTGGATTTATGTAATAAGCTAAATAAACATCTGTGTATGCCAATGGAAGACTTTAGTGACTTATTTTCTTTCTAACAGTTCATTGTAGCATAAAGATGGACATTCACCCCATAATATGCATCCTTAACCACTGCAACTCAGGCTCTGGAATTTCACTGGAGCTCAAGTGCCATTGGGCACATTGCTTGAATGTATTAAACCTCATCTATAAAGTCAGAATAATGACACTAATCCCAGATTTCTGAGATTAGGTAAGATAAATCCATGGTAATGTTCAGAACACATCGAGAGATACATTAGTGGTTACTTCAATTTCATAAGACATAATAAGAAGTAACTGACTTTGTTTTGCTGTTTACCCCTAGCCCAATTTTATTCCAGATAACACAGTATCATTACTATGATCTCTTTGTTCCTGCTGTACCAACATTTTGTATGGTACAAATTTCAACTCCAAATGTGGTGAGAGGTTCACCACCTTATTCTAGCTAGTATTCCGAAGCCATTCCAATTCATAAAACATACTCCGAGTATCTGCTTTGTGTAAAGTCCTGTTCTTTGTATTAAGAACAGGACTTAAGTTGGTACAAAGGAACCAAGGAGAAATAAGGAATTATCCTGCCCTCACATCATTTTAAGTATAATGTATATACAAGCAGAATATCCACGGTAAAATATGATAAATGCTTTTAGACAACTACAGACAAAAAGGCAATCAGAGAACAAATAAGAAAAAGTTTATATCCCATCCCTTAGATGGGATCATAAGGAAACTCTTTAGAAAAGAGGGAGAATTTAAGATTGGCCTTGAAGGGAAGACAATGTAGGGCAGATCCTAATGCAATCCTAAGAACAGAGAACTTCACAAGCAAAAACAGGCTGATTTCCTCTTCCACCTATGATGGAGCAGCATATATCAGAATAAGCCTCCCATTAACTATAATAAAATGTGACTATTTAAAAATCTAACAAACAGCTATTTAAGATCATGATAGCAACTAAGAAAACAAGGACACGAGGGGCCAAGATTCGAGAAAGAAAGAAAATACAGTAAAGTGAATCCTGGATTACCTGTTTCTTTGCCAATTTAGGTCTGCAAACATAGTGACCAAATAGAAAGCAGTAGCTTTTGGCTTGCTGAAGTCTTACTGGTCTTGGGAGAAACAAATTGGAGTTCAAGGCTATCAAAGTTGCCAGGACATGAAAGACTAAGGACCAGGTTAACAGGGAACCAGAGAATAGTAAGAACAATCCATGGGCAATTTCCTCTTGAGGCATCTGATGGCTCTGAAGGAAATGAAATATTTCACCCCAAAATATTGAGGACTGTTATGTCAAAGACACTGAAAATGCAGGGGAACACTGCCTATGTTTGCCTCCTGATGGCAAGACATCAATCCATCATTACTGGAGACAGCACCTGTTTATGGGCCCATGGAAGCCACCTGAAGCCCTGAAAGAAATCTGGGAACAGTCTATTAACTTCCCACATTTTCCCATCCTTTAAAGGACAAGAACTGTTCTACTCTTTGTTCTGTAACTACACAGAATTCACAGTTCTTTGTTAAAATATTTTAAAGCAAGGCCCCTAAGCCACTGCCTTGAGAGAGCTGTTTTTTTCTTTTTCAGTTTTTGTTTCTGTTTTGAGATAGGATCTCACTGTGTCACCCAGGCTGGAGTGAAGTGGCGTGATCATCCTGGGCTCAAGCAATCTTACCATGTAGCTTGGGACTATGGGTACATGCCACCACACCTAATTTTTAAATTTTTTAATGAGAAATGAGTCTTGCTATGTTGACCAGGCTGGTCTCAAACTTCTGACCTCAAGCCATCCTGCTACCTTGTCTTCCCAAAATGCTGGGATTACAAGCATGAAGCGTCTTGCCTGTTCCAACGGTTTTTTAACTGAGGCTTCTCCCAATTGATAGGTATAGCAGGTGTTAATAAATTTCCACTTGTTTATCTTTTGTTAATTTGGCTTATGTTTTGGGAAAATGTCTCAACTAATAATCTAAGAAGGGGAAAGAAAATAAATAATATTTTCTCTCCCAAAACTCCTAAACTACTCATTATCAGGACAAGATGCCTTGAACCCAATCAGAAGCCAGCTGTTAAGAGACTAAAAAGCTAATCAGTGATTTCAGCAATCTGAGTATACGGCAGGACAAAAACTGCTGTTGAGGACCCATGGTTGGGGGGCTATCTGGTAAATCATCTGAAGAACCCTGTTTTAAGACAGCAATTACACAGCCCTCACAGCTGAATGAAGTACAGGACAAAAAAATGTCAACAGTGTCAAGGTTGAGAGTAACTGATCCTGAAGAAACGGTCTGTATGTTTTTCACAGAGAACGTCTTAGTGAGTCTTCTCCTAACTGTATTGTTCACCTGCTGGGGTAATCTTGACTAAGACAATAAACTCTAAAGGCTTCATGTTCTTCATTGGTAAAATAAACGATTAATTCATTCTTTTTAACTAATAAAGTGGATAAACTCAGTGAGCTCTAAAATCTTTCCCTTCAGTAAAAGTCTGATTTTATTTAGTGGTTAACTAAAAAGTAAGCATTATCTGGATAATTTCAATGATACAGGCAGGAAAAAGATTACAAATCCATTGACCATAATGCATAAGCTTGCATGGTGAGGGCCTTTTT